AAAAAAAAAAAGAAAGAAAAAAGTGATATAATGCTGTTTTTGTTCCAATGCTGCAGCCTCAGTCCCAAGACGAGAGGAGTGATGTCTGCTGCATTGAAAAGGGGTTGCTGTGGTCAAGCAGCGTGTGGGTGGGTGGGCGGTGTGTATGGGGACAATACAACATGACACTGGACCATGGCCACTGCCTAACACAGGTCGGCCCCTCAAGGTGTAGGTGGGCGGGGCATCCGGGGGCCTGACTGTGACTCAGGAGCCCTGGTGCCTGCACGGCAGGGTTAGTGGTGATGTTGGTGGGCGGGGCAGCGGCGGTAAGGCGGGCAGTGTTGGGGCTCATCGCGCACGCGGCACTCTCCCTGCTCTTCCTGGCAGCAGCAGGAAGACTGGGGTCCTTGTGGCTGAAAAAATAGACTCTGAAGAAAACCCTTGCTGTCCTCTTGCAGCCGCGGGCACAGATGAGCGGTGATGGCTTCCCAGGACGGTGGTGGGTGGGTGCCACCCCCACCAGAGTGGGTGTCCAGATGGCGTCACGTGTAGGGGCCTTTTACAGTTAGTCATTAAAAAACATGTTGATTTTCTGAATATCAAGTCTTCTTACTGGTTTTAAATAGCTTATAACAAAAGTGTAAATGTTAGAATGTTCTAGCAAGCAGAGGACCAGCTACAAGCCACAGAGCTAGTCTCAACTCTGGCTGCAGCTGGGGGACATGGCTTGCTCACTTGAACTTGGCCAGTAGAAAATTTTGCAGTGGATTCCAAAAGTATGTGGTTACAAACACTCGCTTGGTAATAGGCACAGTAGAGACGTTGTGCTGTGTGGCTGCAGAGGCGTGGGCTGGGTCTGCAGAGCCACGTACCCGCCGCCCTCTGCGCACGTATGGAGTCCATGTGGCAGTGGCAGGCACTGCACAGGCTAGGGATCCAGCTCGGCACTGCCCTCGCCACCCACATTCTCAGGCCGTGGCCGAGGCCACAGCTGCTCCTGAAGCTCCTTCACCACCTTCTCCAGGTGCTCACGGGCCTCACGTTCCCTCAGCAGGTCAGCTCGAAGCTGCTCTCGGTCCGCCTCTGCATGCTGCAGCTTTGCTTGCAGGTCCTCAATCTGAAAGGGATGCTGAGTGGTCAGTAGTGCCTAACACCAGCACTTACCACTCAAGGCCACATCTCCCTTCCGAGTTCCTATTTAGCCCTCGATGCCATGTCTGACCCACCTGAAGGCTCACAGGAAAAGGCCCAGATGTTGAGGATTAGGAGAGCCTCATCTGCTGCATCAGAGCAGGAACTGGCTCCACTTCCACCCTATATTTCTGACCCACAAGGGAACCAAACAGCACTACAGATGTAAAAGACCTTCCCTGCCTCCCTGGGCTGGATCCCTAAGCTTTGGAAGCTGCCACTCTGCAGTAGGCAAGGTCCATCTCCTGATCCTAGCTTACAGCTTGCTTCCCAAGCCAGCACTAGGAAGGGCAGCCTATGTTCTGAGGCCACAATGGTCTTGGTGGGGAGATGGGAGCACCTGGGCTATGGAAAACAGTCTCTAGTTCCCAGGCCCAGGTCTGCTGGATACACCTCAGGGCCTCCAGGCATGGTACATCATCACCTCACAGATCCGCTTGAAATGGTTAAATGGAGGACGTTGGATCTGTGATAGCAGATATTCACTGTGCAGGTCAGTCTACCAGCCAACCCACCCGAGTACCTGGGCTGAATACTTGGCGCGCAGGCGGCCGGCCTCACAGCCCTTGTCACACACCCGGACCTGCCGCGCCTGCTCCAGCTCTCGCTTCAGGCGCACCCGAGACTCGTTGGCCTCTTTCATCTTCTTCTCGTTTTCAGCTCGGAGCCGCTCAATCTCTTTCCTCAAACTGCGCTTGGCCTCGGTGGCTTCACGCAATTTCTCCTTCTTGGCCACACGCAAGAATTCTAGCTCCTGGGAAGACACGTAGCAGACAGGTTCAAAGTACTGCCAGCCCAGCACCTTTGTGCCCACCCTGCACCCAACAGTCAACTGACCTGACTGTTAGCTTCCCTCCAGGGCCCAGCAGAGAGCCTATTACTAGTTGTAGGCTGTTTCTATCAAGGTTGCATCAGAACCTTCTCACACCTCCTCCTCCTCCTCCCAAATGTACATGCACATGGGTGGGGGAGGGAAACACCAAGCAGGCAGTCTCAGGCACTGCACCTGAGGCCTGGAGGTGCAGAGGGAGCCATTTACTTTTGGTACTTCCCGTGCCCTTCCCCCACTTGTTAGAATGCAGTATGACACCCGTCCCCCATGAATAGTCATGTGGGAAATCACACCTCCACCCAGAATGGGGGCAAGAGAGGATGAGGGAATGACTAAGACTCACTCTGAGGAGAACATCTGAAATCCTGCAGCCCTGAGGATTGACAGGGTTGTGTTGTGCTAAAGCCCACGCATGTGAGGCTGCCCCCAGAGCTGCCAGACTCAGGCTGAGGTGTGAATTCAGCAGAGGTTGAGCCTGCAGCAAAGACTTAATGCTGAGCCCCGGCCAAGAGCTCCTCACTCTCCCCAGGCTGCCTGAGAACTGGGTCTCCCTTACTCATGTCAGAAAAACAAAACAGCATGAAAAGAAGGTCTAGAAACAGTGAGGTGGAGCCCAAAGAACCAGTAAGTAGTGTGTAAGCACACACACCCCTCCCAAGCATGGACTTCCTTTTGGAGATGCAGCTTCAGAAGCCATCCCTGCACTCTATATGCAGAGCACAAGTCTTAGTAGTGGAGAATAAACCAACTCCTGACACAGCGAGAGGCATCGCTAGGATAGGCACTCCTCACTCACCACTGACACTGGCCTTTACCGTGGCCAAGAAAACATGCCAGTGCTTTCAGTAAGGCCCCCACACACAGGGAAAAGCTGCAGCTGAGACCACTATGGACGCCTTCCTGGAAGCACAGAAGGACTCTGGACATCGAAGTGCCTCACAGAGCTGGGTCCTCCAGAGGACCTGGGAAGAACCCCAATGCTCCCCAAGAGGGCTTGGGCAGACAAAAGGAAGTGGTCTTCTATATTTCATGGCCCGCCTGCTGTCCACTTTACCTGGTGCAGGCTGCGCTTAGCCTGTAGGGCTGCTGTTAGCTTCTCCTCCTGCTTCACACGCATTTTTACCACCTCATGTAGGAACTTCTCTTTGGCTTCCTTGGTATCCAGGCCACCCTCCAGGGCTTGCCGCAGATGCTCCAACTCTGCCTCCAGCCCACTTGGGGCATCGGCATGGGCTGCAGCATCAGGAGCAACCACAGGAGGAGCATGCATGCCTGGGGAGCTTAGGTCCTTGGCAGAGCTGGACGAGGTAAAGGACGGAGAGGACAGCGAGGACAAGGAGGAGGTGACTGAGGACAGAGAAACCAAAGCATTAGGCATTCTGGAATATACTGGCTTGGTCATACCATATGCTCCCATCCTACCCCATCCCCTGTACTGATGTCCAAAGGAGCAGAGTCCCATCCATACTTACATTCCTCTCTGCTTTCAACTTCCACCTCAGCCTCAGAATCCTTGTCTTCCTCTGGGGCAGCCACAGATGTCAGCATATCTGGGGCTCCTGGTGTTTCCATGGTCAGCTTCCGCTTCCGTGGCTGGATACAAGTGGTAATAGGTTCTGGTGCCCGAGAGACCACAGTGGTGCATGGTGAACTGTTCACAACCTTTTGCTGGGTTGGTGGTGCTAGGGCCACATTGGGGGACACAGCTGTCTCAAAGCTCTTGTAGGAGTAAAAGCTGTCTCGAATCAGGGCTGGGAGGTGTGGGGAGGTCTCTTTCTCATTTGCTGACACTGCAGGGGACCAGGGCCAGAAAGCAGAAAGGCGTTGGCGAGGGTGAGCACAGCCAAGGCTCCAGGGCACCCTCCGCTTGTACTTGTTGGCATAGTCGAACTTTTCCTTCACGTCATCCAGGCAGCGGCCAAGGCGGGCCTGCTCCTCCTTGCCTGTGTAGTCCTGGCTCAGCAGGATGTAGGCCCGCCAGTTGGCTGAGTCGAAGCCCCAGTGGCAGGTCCGGTTCTCCAGGGCCTTGTGCGAGTGTACCACGAACTTGTGCGGCGGGTACATGAGGCGGCAGTCGAGGCACTGGATGCAGGCGGCGCTAGGGCTGCTGTACAGCTCGGGCACCAGCAGCCCCTTGCACTTGCCGAAGCACTCGTGGTACACGTGGACGCTGCGCTCGCTGAGCTCCAGGCCCAGCACCAGGCTGGCCGCCAGCTCCTTCTTGCAAGGCGGCGGATAGGCGCCGCCGTAGAGCAGCGCGTTGCACAGGCGCTTGGCGTCCGTCTTGGTGATGAGCCCGCACGAGGGCGCGGAGAAGGGCAGGATGCCCATGACTTTGAGGATCTCCAGCTGGTCGGCGGTGCAGCGTGAGCAATAGATGTGCAGCTCATCGCAGACCAAGTTGATCTGCTGCAGTGAGAAGTCGCGCAGCACCGAGTTGAGGATCTGTGGCAGGCACACACGCTTCTCATCTCCCACTACGAAACAAGAGATGGTCTCCCCTTCCAGCACGGTCTCACAGCGCTCGGTGGAGCGATCCGACGGCATGAAGAAGGGCCCGGGTAGTACAGGCGGCGGCTCCTTTATCACAGCTTGGCACCCTTGGAAGGTTTTGAGGACTGCCGCACATCTGTCCACTCCTGCATGGTGTTCTGCAGGGCCTGGGTCTTCTCTTTATCCACTTGGACATAGTCTACCTTCTCATCCGATGTGACAGATGATGTGGATGGCT